TTGAGTAGCTAGAACTACAGGCATGCGCAGCCACCCCCAGCTAATTTTTGTAGTTTTAGTAGAGACTGGGTTTCACCATGTCGGCTAGGATGGTCTCGATCTCTTGACCTCGTGATACACCCACCTTGGCCTCCCGAAATGCTGAGATTACAGGCGTGAGCCACCACGTTGGCCCTACTTAGCTTTTAAGATCCAGCTTTATTTAGGTGAAATCAACGTGTAAAATACACCTACTTTAAGTGTAAAATTTGATAAGTTTTGACAGATGTATATACATCTCTATCACCATAACCATCACCACCATAGTCAAGATACAGAACATTTTTATGTAAGAAAATGTTTATCCAGAAAGAAAACTTTATCCAGAAAGCTTCCTGATACCTCTTTGTAGTAAGTACCCATGTTGGCCCCAGACAGCCATTAATCTACTTTCTCTTCCTGTAGATTAGTTTTCCCTTTTATAGAATTGTGTATGAATGAAAGCATAGCTTGCTTTTTTTGTTTGTTTGAGATGGAGTTTCGCTTTTGTTGCCCAGGCTGGGGAGTGCAATGGCACGATCTTGGCTCACTGCAACCTTCGCCTCCTGGGTGCAAGCGATTCTCCTACCTGAGCCTCCCAAATAGCTGGGATTACAAGCATGTGCCCCCACGCTCAGCTAATTTTGTATTTTTAGTAGAGACTAGGTTTCTCCATGTTGGTCAGGCTGGTCTTGAACTCCTGACCTCAGGTGATCCACTCTCCTTGGCCTCCCAGAGCTGCGGGATTACAGGTGTGAGCCACCGTGCCTGGCCAAAACTTAGCTTTTTGGTAGTGAAAGCAACATAACTGTTTTTAGAAACCATGACCATTGAAATTTCGTTTATTGAGGTGAAATTCACATAACACAAAGTTAACCAATTTAAATTGTACAGGACAGTGACATTTATTACATTTACCATGTGTGCAATCATCAACTCTAGGTCAAAAACCTTTTCATGACTCGCAAAGAAGACCTCAAACCCATTAAACAGTCACTCCCCATTTTCTTCTCCCTCTAGCTCCCAGCAACCACCAATCTGCTTTCTATCTCTATGGATTTACCTTTTCTGGTTATTTCCTATAAATGGCATCGTATAATATATGACCTTTTCTTTCTGACTTCATTCACTTAATGTTTTTAAAGTTCATTAACATTGTATACCATGTATCAGTATTTCATACCTTTTTAATGCTAAGTAATAGTCCACTGTAGGGATAATACCACATTTTGTTTTATATGTTCATCCACAGATGGATATTTGGGTTCTTTCTACCTTTTTGCTTTTGCGAATAGTGCTGTTGTGAACATTTGTGTATAGGTATTTGTTTGAATTCCTGTTTTCAGTTCTTTCATGTATATATCTAGCAGTGTAATTGCTGGATTATATGGTAATTCTGCTTAACTTAATGAGGAACTGACATACTGTTTTCCACAGCGATTGCACCATTTTACATTCCTGTCAGCTATGTACCAGGGGTACGGTTTCTCTACATCTTTGTCAGAACTTATATTTTCTAGGGTTTTTTGTTGGTTTGTTTTAGCCATCCTAGTGAGTGTGAGGTAGTATCTCACTGTGGTTTTGATTTGTGTTTCCCAAATGACTAATGATGTTGAGCCTCTTTTCTTGTTTTTTTTGTTTGTTTGTTTGTTTGGCCATGTGTATATCTTTGGAGACGTATCTATTCAAGTGCTTTGCCCATTTTTTAAAATTGGGTTGTTTGTCTTTTTGTTTTTAAAAGAATTCGTTATATATTCTGGATACTAGATGTTTATCAGATACATGATTTGCAAATATATTCTCCTATTTTGTGGGGGTTTGTTTCGTTTATTTGATACTGTCCTTTGACACACAATTTTTAAAATTTTGATGATGTCCAATTTATCTGTTTTGTTGTTGCTTGTGCTTTTGTGTTTTATTTTAAAATCTTTGTTTAATCTGGCCGGGCATGGTGGCTCACGTCTGTAATCCCAGCACTTTGGGAGGCCAAGGCAGGTGGATCATTTGAGGTCAGGAGTTCGAGACCAGCCTGGCCAACATGGTAAAACCCTGTCTCTACTAAAAATACAAAAAAAATTAGCCAGGCATAGTGGTACACGCCTGTAATCCCAGCTACTCGAGAGGCTGAGGCAGGAGAATTGCTTGAACCTGGGATGCGGAGGTTGCAGTGAGCCAAGATCACACCAGTGCACTCCAGCCTGGGTGGAGTGAGACTCCATCTCAAAAAAAAGAAAAAAAAATCTTTGTTTAATCCAAAATTATCAAGATTTACTGCTGTGTTTCCCCCTAAGAGTTTATAGTTTTCTTTTTTTTTTTTTTTTTTGAGACGGAGTCTCGCTCTGTTGCCCAGGCTGGAGTGCAGTGGCGGGATCACTGCTCACTGCAAGCTCCGCCTCCCAGGTTTACACCATTCTCCTGCCTTAGCCTCCCGAGTAGCTGGGACTACAGGTGCCCGCCACCTTGCCCGGCTAGTTTTTTGTATTTTTAGTAGAGACAGGGTTTCACCGTGTTAGCCAGGATGGTCTTGATCTCCTGACCTCGTGATCCGCCCGTCTCGGCCTCCCAAAGTGCTGGGATTACAGGCTTGAGCCACCGCGCCCGGCCGAGTTTATAGTTTTCAATCTTACATTTAGGTCTGTAGTTCATTTGAGTTCATTTTTGCATGTGCGATGATGAATAGGTCATCAAGTGGTTATCCAGTTTTGCCTGCATCATTTGTTGAATGTTTCCCCATTGACTGGTCTTGGCACCCTTGTGGAAATTAATTGACCATAGACGTATGGGTTTATTTCTAGACCCTATTCTGTTTCATTCTTTGCTATATATCTGTCCTTATGCCAGTACTACACTGTGTCAATTATTGTAGCTTTGTAGTAGGTTTGAAATCAGGACATGTGAGTTCAACTTTTTTCTTTTTCAAAATTGTTTTAGCTGTTTGGGGTCTCTTGAAATTCCATTTGAATTTTAGGATTAGCTTTTCCATTTCTGTAAAAGGTATTGTTGGGATTTTGGCAGGGATTGCATTGAATATGTAGTCACTTTGGGAAGTATTACCATCTTAATGATAATAAGTCTTCCAGTCTATGAACTTGGGATGTTTCCATTTATTTAGATATTTCCTTCAGCAATGTTGTGTGGTTTTTAGTATACATATCCTGCACCTCTTTGGTTAAATTCATCAATAAGTATTTGATTTTTTTATTCTATTATAAATGGAATTGTTTCCTTAATTTCCTTTTTAGATTGTTTACTGCTGGTTTATAGAAATACAACAGACTTTTGTGTATTGCTTTTGCATAATGTAACTTCTGCTGAATTTTTTAGCTCGACTAGTACTTTTGTGGATCTTATTCTATATATAAGATTACGCCATCTGTGAATAGAGATAGTTTTACTTGTTTCTTTTCAATCTGGATGCCTTTTATCTTTCTTGCCTGATTGCCCTGGCTAGGACCTCGACTACAGTGTTGACTAGAGGTGGTGAAAGTGAGCATCTTTGTTTTGTTCCTGCTCTTACAAGGAAAGCTTTCGGTCTCCTATCGTTGAGTATGATGTTAGCTGTGAGTTTTTTATAATAACTTTTTATCGGGTTGAGGAAGTTCCTTCCCATTTTTAATTTATTGAGTGTATTATAATGAGAGGTTGTTGGATTTTGTCAAACGTGTTTTTCTGCATTTATTGGGATGATCATGTGGGGTTTTTTCCCCCTACATTCTACTAATGTGTATGTAATACATATTTTATTTTTCCATGTTGAACCACCCTTGCATTCGGCCATTGAGATTTTAATCTAGGAGTCTATTAATTGAATAAGGATTCAAAATAAGGATTTCATATGTTATTTTTTAATTTTTTCACTTTCTGAAGAAATCTAAATATATTTTAAGTGTCAGTAGAAGAGACGTATTTGTTTTCTTCTTTCTGTTTTTGTAAGAGTGTCAGTGGTTGATGGAATAATGTGAGGGAGGTAGTGAACCAGAGGTACTAGGACATATACTGTAGGGCTACAGTAATGAAGCAGTACTGATGGACAGATACACAGCCAGAGCAGTGAAACTAAAGATGAAGTGTAGGAACAGCTCAAGTGTAGGTAAGCACTCAAGCTGGGCATGGTGGTTCACACCTTTAATCCCAACACACTGGGTGGCTGAGGTGGCAGAATCACTTGAACCCAGGAGGTCAAGGCTGCAGTGAGCCATGATCCTGCCACTGCACTGCAGCCTGGGTGGCAGAGCAAGACTCTGTCTCAAAAAAAAAAAAAAAAAAAAAAAAATCAGTATTGTGCTGTCTGTTGTTAAGTTGAATCATTTTAGACCATCTAAAGTACAATTGATTCTCATCATTCACTCTACTTAACATTCTGTAAAGTTGCCATGAACACTGGAATAAGAAATACTAAACTATTGCTGCTTGGCAAATTATAGGGTTAGGTTCCTCTGAGCCTCTGGTTACAACATTTTCATCAACCAGTTGACACAAAACTCGCTTTATGTGTGTTTTTGTTTAAAGGTGTGTTATTTAAAGTCTGTTGATTCATTGCACTACAACTCATGCCTGAACAGAGCTTCTCTAACACACAGATTTTCTCCATGAGGGACATCACAGCCTTTGTGCACTAGGAGTAGTAGACGGCACTTTAGCATGACACTTGGGGGCCACTCTAAATAGCAAACTCACCAACAAAAAACACAGAAGTCCAAAAAAGTGGCAATAAATAGACCTTCCATAGGGTACTAATTCACAGGATCAGAGCTGAAACAGTTGCCCGTTCACCCTCACCTGGGAAAACACGCGTCAGGTAATTCAAATTCTTCACTGCTCTGCACATGCACATGTCTGTGATGACAGGAAGAAAGTGTTGATTTGGAGGTTGCAAATAATTTTAATAAGTAGATGAATTTGCACATACAGAATTCACAAGTATCGAGGATCAGCTGTACATACTTTTTAATCTTAATTTTTTTCTTCATAATAATGTTCTATATGATGCTAATCATTAGTATCCTAACCTTTATATAACACTTAGGTTAAGTTAAAATACAAATACAAAGCAAGAATCTTCCTGGAGGAAAGCCTTTCGTTTGGAGTCCTAGGAGAGCATGGCGGAGGAGTCACTGAACACTATGGAATCAATGTAAGTTCCCCTTTTTAGGAACGTTTCGCCTCTTATGGGAGACATGTAGTTCCATTCTGCGAGGCATATATTTTTATAGGCACAAGACAGCACTCCTTACCAGTTTGAAGGGTCACGAAACTTTGGTGTCTGTCACCTCAGTGAGCCCAGGATGGGTCTAGTCAGCCAGAAGAGGGAACCCCATCTTCCTTCTGAACTTATTAACTCAGAGTGGGTAGTCAGGGTTTGTGCTGTGTTTGCAAAATTGCATTTGAATTGGCCTTTAGTGTCTCTTCTCTAGAAATGGTTAAATGTTGCCTTCCAATTATTTCTTAAAATCATCAAGAATTTCCTGAGTAGTCTTTTCAGAAGTATTCATGACAGCAGAGAAACAGTACTGTTTCTAGTATTTAAAAATCTGTATTCTATATAATATGTTTGTGGGAGGTAGATACAGTTATGTGTGTGTGTGTGTGTGTCTGTGTCAGTGTGTGCATGTGTCAGTGTGTGTGTGTGTGTGTCAGAAACAGCACTGGCATGCATTCAGCAAAACCTCTTAAAGTCCCAAACAGAGTGAGGTGTCATGTTTCCTTTTCTGAGGGAAATGGACCCAGACTGCCCACAGTGCCTAGTGAGTGGGTTTTGCTCCTGGAGCCTCAGGGCAGAGGAAGTCAGCCAGTCTTCAACAGCTGTCTTACCAACCACCAAGGGAAGAGTTACAGAAAGCTTTTTCTCCAAAACATGCGCATAAGAGCTGTGCAACCTATGTTACAGAGTTGAAATATAAAACATAAATTGCCTTGGATTATCTACGTCCCACTACTATGTAGTCCCAGAGAAAAATGTAGAGCAGAGTGAATATCCTGAGAGGCTGGATATAAGCACCTCCTCCAAGGCAGACTGACATTCAGCAGTTACATGCACCGAGGAGATAAATGGAATAAATGGAAGTGTAATTCAAGCAAATTTAGCAGTACACAACAGCCTTTTTTAAGGCATGAAAATGTTTATGAAGGAAAAAACTCGAACTTCACTGTTGTAGTTTTCTGAATGCTTCTAGCAGTTGTCACTGAGGAAATACTCACAAGCGCCTGAGAGTAGAGAGCGGAATGTGTGGACTTTATTTGGATCCCGATTCAAACAGATGCTGTTAAAAGAAAATTTGGTGAGACAATCAGAGATAATTTGAACACTGAATATTTGAGTATATTTAACATCAAATTTACACTTAACATTTAAAAATTGTTAACGTCTTAAGTATGATAGTAGTTTTGTGATTATGTTTTTTTTTTTTTTTTTTTTTTTTGATTTTTTATGATGGTATTGTTTTTTTATTTTCGTTAGTATACAGGCCAGTTATTTTTTGTATTTTATAGTTTATGTAAGATATTCGATTTGATTACCACCCCTCGCCCCATGCTGATTAAGTAGATGCCGGTATTTTTTGAAAGAGTTTTTATCGTTAAGAAATACACAGTGAAATGTTTATAGATGAAACCCCATGAAGTCTGGGATTCACTACAAAGAAATGATGATGGTGGTAGGGGATATAGATGAAGCAGCGTTGTCCTTGAGTTTATAATGATTGAATCTGGGTGATGGGGATTCTTTGTTCTGTTCTACTTTGTTCAGGCTTGAAATTTTTTGCAATGAAAGGTTTAAAAACATTTTTTAAAAAGAGCAGGAGTGCACAGTTTCTCTGTTGGATCTATGAAACACTGAGGAAAACACTAGCTGTGTTCTGACAGTCCATTAACATGCCCATCAGTAAGTAGTGATTGAATGCCTACTCTGTGCCCAGAATGGAACTCGGTGCCGAGGGCTGCAGCCGAAGATGAGCACCAAAGGAGTTCTGAGTGGTCAGAAAGATGTAGGACTCAAAGCCCATTAGGTCATTAGAGCACATTAGGTTCTTCTGCTGTCCAGTCGGTCAAAGATTCCATCGCCACGACGTTTGGATAAATTGATTTATGAAATGCTGAAAATCATGTTGAATACAAGAATAAAGTGCTCAAAACTTCAAGAGACTTATTTTTATTTATCTCAGGTGCATCCCATGGGGAAGGCCAGCTAGACCACTGTTTTAGCAAGGAAATAGTCTTATTTTGTACCTGTGACTGCTTTTAATTTTGAACAGCTTTGGGTTTTATCTTCTTATAATTTATTTGTCTTTGCTATGAGTTAATTTGTCATGTATAATGAAATGGTAAAAATATATAAAATGAGACAGTTTCAGAGATGGGCCATGAAACTACAGTTCATTCAGCGATAGATGTTATATGGTTTATTTTTTATTTTCATGTAGATAGGTAGTTTGAATCCAGATGTTAACAGACATTTGATGCTGTTAAATTTTGTCTCTAGGGCTGAAGTTGGCCTTTTTTTTTTTTTACACTGTGGAATAACTGTCACTCCTTTTCTGGCAGATTGATGATATTGATCTTATCAGTGCCAACATGGAGAATGCACTTGCTTCTATTGGAGGTTTCTGCTGTGGCAGGTCTTTTGTAATTGACCATCAGGTGGGTTCTTTTTTAAAAAAGGAGCTAAAACTGAAACTAATTTCTCCATTGGTCACCTCAAAATATAACTTTGAAATACAAAATTTTACTTAGTTTATCACACAATTTTTATTTAAATGTCAATTTTTAAAGAATCATTCAAAATACTTTCTATTTAGAAATGATTTCTCATTTAACAAAAAATCTTGTTTCTGTTACACGTATCATGTTTATTTATGGCTGGATCTTACCCCCGTCACCACATGTACACGCTGTTCAGTAGTTGTTTTAGAGAACTGATGCCTTAAAAATGTTTACCTAGAAAGGGCAGAGAATGTATATATGTGTCTTCAACTGATTTGTTTCTTCTCAGCGACTTTCCGGCCAGGGATACTGCTTTTCAGCTTCGTTACCTCCCCTGTTAGCTGCTGCAGCAATTGAGGCCCTCAACATCATGGAAGAGAATCCAGGTATAACCCTTGAAAAACCCGAGAAATCAAAGAGATTTCAGGTTACATTAGTTGTGTTACGGATTTACTTACTGGAGAAATTATTTGCCAGACAAAACTGGTTTGCAATTACACTATCTGGCCTTCGTAGGAAGAGTGGCAGTGAAGAAGCTGTTCCTGCCCCGGGGACTTGGGGTCAGAGCTTCTCTCCTGTGCTTGGAGCCAGAGCCAGAGCCAGAGCCAAAGCAAGGCTGGCTCAGATAGTGGGTGGAGATACTGGGACGAGGAGGGGCTCTCAGCCACTTCTGGGCCTAAACGTTCCATTGGTGTCAATAAGCCAGTCCTTATTTGGTTAATAGTTTTTTGAGAAATCAGCTGAAGCATGCTCCTTTTTTATCTGTGTAATTTTATAAATATTGTGAGTTTTCGCCTTTAGCCTTTGAATCATCAGTTGGTACCGAAGCCAAGCCCGGTTTACCAGCAAAAAACTTACTCAGTGGGAAAAATAAAAAGTCTAAGAATTTAAAATGTGGCCTTTGGCTATGACAGGGCCACCTCTGCAAAGCTTAACACAGAAAGGGAGCTGCAGGCCCTACCCGGTAAAGTATTTCTGAATCTTCATCACTGATACAGAGAACCAAAAGGTGTATGTCTCTGTGCTCATTCATATGCTTGCTTCTCAGATGGCCTGGCACTCCTAAATTCTCTTCAGATATTTTAGTTTTGGGATTTTCCTTGAATAAAAAAGGAAAATATCAAGAAAAGATTGTAAAAATTATACTACAGTTGATTTTTTACCAAATTGTTTAGGATAAAGAAATAAGCAGTAAATTTGTGCCCTTTGATTCTTAGCCAGATTACCTGTAGGATCTTGATGAGAGCAAGAGGCATTGATTGCTCTTGAAAGCATCATTCCAGGTTTGTTGGAAGTGGGATAGTGAGGTGAGAAGGGGCCAGTTAGCATGCACCAGAGACGAAGCCTGGGCCTTCAGGGGAGCATGGGTTCCTGGCTCTGTTCGTATGTAGAAGGATTTGCAGCATTTTAAATTGATGAACTTGATCTGGGTCTTCAAAAATATTTTTAGGTTAGTACTATTATACGTTCCAAGGAGACTCTCAAATGTATTTTTTTCATCTAGGTATTTTTGCAGTGTTGAAGGAAAAGTGCAGACAAATTCATAAAGCTTTACAAGGGTGAGTTTTATATATTTTCAACCAACATAAAGTTTATCTGCACCACACTTAAACAACTAATGAAAAGTTTTAAATTTATAGGCTTGGGTCAGTTTGACCAAATTGCAACTAAGAAACCAAAAACTTAGTTCACTCACATTGGTTAATTTGTATAGAACCAGATCATCTGTTTTAAAGAATCATGACTTTGTTTTTCTGAAAATGAAACAAACTCATTAATAAAATATTACAACAGTACAGAAGATAGAAAGATGAAAATAACAACCCAACGTCTTACCACTGGAAATAACCAAGGTAAACATTGAAGCATCTCTCCATGTCCGCACACATACAGGGATGCCATTATATATTACATAATTAGATGACTGGGTTCATACCATCTGTGTTACTTTTTAGTAAATTACTAAGTTTTAACACCAGAAAAATAAGTGAAATTTTGTGAGTGTTTCTTTTTTCTTTCTTTTTTTAAACTACACAAGAGTCACTCTTTAAGATTCCTCTGTAGTTAAAAAAAGATCGAGGTTGGTGCTATCTCCACGCACATTCCTGGTCTTATAGAAAGTGATTTCACATTGCCCAAGGTATTTCTTTTTGCCTTTCCTAAGGTGAAACATGCTTTCTTGGTCATGAAAGTCATCTCTCTGTTCCAGATACGGAAACTGGAGACTTTAACTAAAAGAAAAGGACAATTGATAAATGAGTATATCACAGCTGTTCCAGATAAAGAAGGGGCAGAGACAATTAAAGTTCTGGGTGTGTCTGTGTGATAGTAACAGCAGTTCTTGCATGATTTATGGTAGGGAGATATATTTGTATTGGTTCCAGTTCCATTGGTTTGTGAAATATTAATATGCCAACACAGCCTAGCATATTGGAGTCACTGGAAATTGATCAGCGGCAGCCTCACATACCCTTCACTCTATGGTGTTAACCTGTCTTAGTTTCTAAGTCCAATCCTCCACTTTCCCCAGCTCTGTCACACTTTTTCTTTCCAAAATTCCTAACCCTCTGTCTTCACTCCCCTCACTTTCAGCTAACAACCTGGCCTTATGCTGTCACTTGGGACTCTGTCATATTTCCTGACAAATCTACACACCTATGGGTATCTGAACCAGTCTTCCCTCCTGTAGACCAATAAATGTTGCTCCAACAACCACAGGCCCTTTTTTAAGGACTGAGTGCCTTTGCTTGTCCCTGCTACTTTGTCATCAGCCTGTTCCCTTTTTTGCATCATTTGATTAGCAGTCATGTCCACTTTAAATTCCTCTTGCCTGTCACCCGACATTTCCCTCTGCAACTTCCCATGTCTTTACTCCTCTCAGTAGCTATCATCTCCACGTCTTCATTTGCACTGGCAGCTCTGAGACCTGGCTTCTGCTACTGTCCTTCATCTGGACTGTTTTTGTGGAGGTCTCCACTGACTACTGAATCCAGTGGACCATCTTCAGAGCTCATCTTGATGTCCCCATAGTTTTCAGCACAGGTGACCACTCTTTCCTTCTTTGGACTCTGCTACACTGCACGCCTGGATTTCCTCTTACATCTTTGAATGGTTCCATCTCGGTCTCTGAAGGCTTTCTTTCAACACCTTGTTCTTCGAGGCTTTGTTTGTGATTCTGTTCTTCTCATTACCTTCTTCCACACCTGGAGCTCCACATCATTTCATGACACGTGTATGTAGACAGCTCCCAGCTTCATATCTCCACCCTGGACCACTGCAGCTCCAGGTCTCACACCCAGTTGCCTGCTCAGTATCCACAGTTGGAAGACTCCATGGCACCTCATAGCAAACACGCATTCAAAAGGGTCGCAGGAGCAAACCGTGCTGGTATCTAGATGGTTACAGAGAAGAGTGAAAAAACAGCAAAGAGGTCAAAGTTACAGGAGGGAAGGAGTAGGGAATCTAGTGGAAGATGAGGTCTGGGTCCTGGGCCATCCACACACAGGGACTTGTGAGCCCTGATGGGAGCTTTGACACACAAAGTCCTGGCATGGTTTTGAGCAAAAAAGTGACACACCCTGTCGGATACCCTAGCAAAATTACTTTTGCATGGTGTGAAAAAATACATTGAATAGCAATAAGAACAGAAGCAGGGAGACCAGTTAGGAGATTGACGCAGGCGAAAGGTGATGGTGACTCTGACCATGGTGGGATCCGTGACGTGAGAAGTCTGGGTATCTTCTGAAGGGAGAGCACACTGGATCTAGCAGTTCCTATGCAGGGTGAGTGAGAAAGAGAAGACTCCGGGTGGAGCTTAGGGGGTTTGGTCAAAGTAAGTAGGTAGAGTCGCTAGTGAGAGAGAGGGATAGAACTGTGGAGAAACATTTACTGGGGAAGGTCAGCAGTGGTTATGTTAAGCCCGAAGTGCCCGTCAGACACGGATTGCAGAGCAGCAGCTGGATGTGCAAGTCTGAAGTGTGAGGAAGAGTACTGAGCTAGAGATACATTTTTGAGTCTTGGGGTATAGATATTATTTGAAGCATTTCAATGTGAAGAGGTCAGAAACTTAGCCAAGACTAGTCCAAGAAAGAGTGACCAGTGAGGAAGACGCAGGCTAGAAGAGCCTAGAGTCCTGGAAGCCAGGGAAGAAATTGCTTATGTAGGAGGTCAGCCTGTGACATGCCACTGCTTACAGGCCAGACCAGATAACAGAACACTGATCCTTTGACTTCATCATGTAAAGGTATTATGACATGGTGAGCAGTTTCATGGGAGTGTGGGGGTAAAACGCCTGCTTGATGGAGGTTCCAGACAGTTGGACACAGCTTAGATGACTGTTTTGAGGAGTTTTTCTCTAAAGAGGTGCTGAGAAACAAGATAGTGGCTAGAGAAAGAAATTGGTCAAGAGAAGAATATTTCAGTTTAAGATTACTGAGGTCAATTTCTGAATAACGTCTAGCTAAGTATAAAACATCCTTTCTCCTACTGGTTGGCACTACTGTCTCTATCATATACCAGGTTCCCATTTGTACTTAGATCTGTTTTTGAACTGTCTCTTCCATTCCATTGGTATATTTGCTCATTACTCAGACTGTTTTTATTTTATCTGTTTTTGTCACTGTTTTGGAATACAGGTTTATCACTAGTGTCTGTTTTTATTACTGTTTTGGAATACAGGTTCCTCCAAAGTTATTGCTAGAATCTTGATTGGAGTTGCATTAAATTTTCTGATGAATGTGGAGGGAATTGTCAACATGAACAAGAGCTCTTTAGTTAATTAATCTCCCTTTGTGTGTTTTAATGGAATTCCTATAAAGCCCTTGTACCTTCATGGAACCTTTAAAGGGGATTTTCAGACATCCTATAGATTTTGTTGCTGTTGTGAATGGAGTTGTCTTTTCTCTTATATTTTCTACTTTATTGTTAATTCATAAGAATATTACTGTTTTCTCTAAACTGACCTTATATCCAGGAGTCTTTCTAAACTCTTATTATTTCCAGTAGTTGTTTCATTCTGTTATGATGATGTACATAGAAGTCCTATTATCTGCAATAATAGTGTTCTCTCTTTGCTTCCTAATGCTTTTACATCTTAGTTCATTTTGTTATTTTATTGCTTTGGTCTGGGTCTCTAAATCTGTATTGAACAGTGGCAATAATAGCAAACATTCTTTTCTTATTCCCAGTATAGAAGCACTTCTTCATTAAATATAAAACATCATGCTATGGGTTTTTGGTGAGTAGCCTTTATCAAATTACTCCTAGTTTTATTTTGTTTTGTGTTTTTTTTAAGAGACGGGATTGCTCTGTGTTGCCCAGGCTAGAGTGCAGTGGCTATTCACAGATATAGTCAACACACTACAGCCTCAAACTCCTGGACTCAAGCAATCCTCCTACCTTCACTTCCCAACTAGTTGGGACTACAGGCATGTACCACTGCACCTGGCTAAATTATTCCTAAATTTGAAGACCTTTTGTTAAAATCATAAATAAATGTTGAACTTTATCCTTTTTTTTTTTTTTTTTTTTTTAACACATCTATTAAGGTAAATCATAAATTTGTCTTATGGCTGAATTACATTGAAATATTTTCTGATGTTAAACCATCCTTGCATTCTTGAGAAAACCCTTCATTATAATATGTTTTTCTCCACTGTTAGATTTATTTAGCTAATATTTTAATTTGACTTTTTATATCTATGTTTATAATTTAAATGGATCTATAACTTTATACCAATTTTATGTAACATGGGAGTCAGTATTAGGGTAGCTTCAGTAGATGATTTGGCTATTTTCCACTCTTTCTACTTCATGGCTCCACTGAGTAAAACACGGCTTGATCGTTTCTTCAAAAGTTGAGAGTAGGTCTCCCACTTTAAGGCCGTATAGGCTTGGAGCCTTTGGTTTGGGGATAGTTGTTGATTATCTCTCATATATCCATATTATTTTAACTTTTTATTTGTGTAAGTTTGGTTTTGTGTGTTTTCATCATAGTGTTTTCTTCCGTATTTTTATGCACTGTCTCATTGCATTGTGTTCTTACTCTTCTTCAGCTTCTTGCATTTAGCTTTTGGTTTTATTTCTTATTTTCTAATAAATATATTAAAGATAAATATTTTCAGAGGCAGTATCTTCAATGCTTAGTTCTGAGTAATTTTTTTGTTCAATTTTTCTCTAATTTTTCACTTCTCTCATCCCTGAGGTTGAGTTTGGAAAACGAAGTTAACATCCTATGCTGGTTTGCCTCTGTTTTCATTGTAATTGTAGTTATTGGTGTCTGGTTCTCCCTATAGACTGTAAGCACACAGTGTAGACCGTGGCTACCTTGGTGATTGCTCTGTCCCTGGGAGCTAGCCCAGTGCTTGTTTATCCATTGGGATAAGATGATATGTCTGGCAAAGTCTTTCATTAAAGAGTAATGTAATAGACTCTGAAACATGGCTTCTCTGAACTCAAGCTACAACTGTGTCCATTTGGTTTTAATTAAACTCATCTGACATTCAGCATCTAGGCAACCAGAGATAGGGCATTTTGTTTAATTCCTTCTCTCACCAGCATGTGAGGTGAGACCATTTGATCAAAAAGCACAAGTTAGATTTGGACCTCAGGTGCCTTGTATTTCTTTTTTTTTTTTTCTTTTGAGATGGAGTCTTGCTCTGTTGCTCAGGCTGGAGCACAGTGGCACGATCTCAGCTCACTGCAACCTCCACCTCCCGGGTTCAAGTGATTCTCCTGTCTCAGCCTCCTGAGTAGCTGGGGTTACAGGTACTTGCCACCATGCCCGGCTAATTTTTGTATTTTTAGTAGAGACGGGGTTTCACCATGTTGGTCAGGCTGATCTCGAACTCCTGACCTCGTGTTCCCCCCTGCCTTGGCCTCCCAAAGTGCTGGGATTATAGGTACAAGCCATCGTGCCTGGACGCTTGGTATTTCCTGAGGAAAATTGAGGCCATTTGATTCATATGAAATGCTATTTGGAAAGCAATTTTTTTTTTTTTTTTTTCCTTGAGACAGAGTCTTGCTCTTGTTGCCCAGGCTGGAGTGCAGTGGCACGATCTTGGCTTACTGTAACCTCTGCCTCCAGGGTTCAAGCAATTCCCCTGCCTCAGCCTCCTGAGTAGCTGGGATTACAGGCGTCCACCACCACACCTGGCTAATTTTTGTATTTTTAGTAGAGACAGGGTTTTACCATGTTGGCCAGGCTGGTCTCGAACTCCTGACCTCTGGTGATCCACCTGCCTCAGCCCCCCAAAGGGCTGAGATTACAGTCATGAGCCACCACACCTGGCTGAAAGCAATTTTTTAATACTCTGAGAATATGTGACCTTAAAAAAAAAAAAAGATACTTGATGTATGTGTTTAACATGGTCAGAATTTACACAGGAAATGGGTTTTGAAAGTGTATTGCTTAGTTTCTACATTAGTAAAGAACTAACCTAGGAGGTTCCCTCACATTCCACATCCTCAAGATTCCATGATTCAGACCTGTAGGCTGCTTTATTGAGAGATCTAGCATGATGTATTATATTTAAAGGAAGGAGATGCTAATTAATAATTTTCCAAGGGTGATTGGAAGGCCAGGTCAGATGAGTTTCCAGAATTCACATTATTGTAACATGCAGTAGTCATTCTGTAAAGGCTTGTCGAGTCCTAAACTGGGAAGATTCTGTTATGCTACCTAGTGCTTTTTGTTGTTATTTCATTCTGAGGGAAAAACAAATCATTTTAGGTGAAACAAACTAAATGAAAGGATCTAAAATGTTTAGCCCAGTTTCAAATAGACATGTATCACATTTGTGTCCTAGGAGGTAGGTCAAAACTCAAATAATATTTGTTATCATAGGATAAAATAGACTTTAAATGAACCTGACTGGATATTAATAATGTGGCATAGCATCTCCTGACAGCTATAATACAAATACAGGATTTAATTTAATTTAATTTAAAAATACAGGATTTGGCCCCTAAAGATCTGTCTTTGAGAAGCTACAGATTTTTGTGCTGTTAATCCTAAGTGAAAACAAAATAATTTTAATCCAAGTAAAATCTAAAACATAACATGCAAATAAGGACATTTTTCTATCTAAACATATTGCTATTAGTCAAAATATAATGTATGTTTGGTTTTTGTTGGGTTTTTTTTTTTTTTTTTTTTTTTGAGACAGGGTTTTACTCTGTCACCCAAGCTGGAGTATAGTGGCACAATCTCAGCTCACTGCAACCTTGACCTCCTGAGTTCAAGCGATCCTCCCACCTGAGCTTCCCAAGTAGCTGGGACTACAGGTGCAAGCCACTACACCTGGCCAATTTTTGTATTTTTGTTTTTGTTTTGTTTGTAGAGATGGGGCATAATGTTGTTAATGTTAGAAATCATCCCTGTAATTAATGAGAAACAAAATAAAAACTAAAGACATAGATAATAAGGAAGTATAACATAAACTGTAGTGAGTAGCTTGTGAAGGATCCAGACAGGATGAAAAATAGCAAATGATGGAGCAGAGCCTTCCCTAAAATGGGTGATGAAGAAGGCCCCAGCAGCAGGCAGTGCTGGAGCTGGGCCCCAGCATGTGCAGCCAGCACAGGGAAGAACAAACATCAGGGGCGAGGGAGCACAGGCAAGGGAATGACAGACCAAGCTGGGGCCCAGAGGGCCTATAAGGAGGGGCGCCCAGGCGGGAGTACGGTGCACAGACTCCCTGGTGGGAGGCTGGGGCCATGAGACCCTGTCCTGCGCTCAGGAAGCCACATCACAGGCAAACTTTTTTAGAGGAGGAAGCACCGCCAGGGTGCCTCGCTTCGCTTTCTTTGTTGGAATTGGAATAATGCTTCCCGTCAGTCGCAAGCTTCTGTACATTCACTGTGCCTTGACATTGTGGACTTCTAACATTATTTCTCCGTGAGTGATCTTGGAGCCTGGAAGGAACTTATGGCTGTGTGTGTGTTTCCCTTCTTCAGGATTTCTGGATTAAAAGTGGTGGGGGAGTCCCTTTCTCCAGCCTTTCACCTGCAACTGGAAGAGAGCACTGGGTCTCGCGAGCAAGATGTCAGACTGCTTCAGGAAATTGTAGATCAAGTAAGTATCCATTTACTTGAGGAAATCCCCCCACACCACTTCTGCCCTTGCCCCAAGCAATTTTTTAATGTTATTTTTTAAGAAAAGTCTGTTTGACCTGAGA